AATATGTACCTCGATAACAATTAGGGAATCTTGGGTGGTTATGAATTATCCAACATCTCTGATTGATAGTATGTATTCGACCGTAACCTTTGCAAGCTGTCTCAAAACGCGTCTTAGGTTTCTCAAATGGAATGCAACCATTCGATCAATAAGGGTATAATATATAATTTTAGCGTTCCTCACGATCCATTTGCAAATTCCCAAACGGCATGGGAAGTGACTATTCCACGAGACGTGTCATCTAGAAATTTTCACTACGCCATGGTAGCCGAGAGAACCAAAAGAGATATTTCTACAGCAGTAATCGAAAGTGGTAAGTAGCCCACTTTCAAATATTGGTTAGAGGCATGGAAAGCGTATTATTCACCTTCTTTATACATATATGGTGACTTGAGATCCATCCTCAATAGCAAGAAACGGGTACAAGAAAGTTGTGCTTGTTTTGATGAAGAGTGTGATAAACTGAGAGCCCTGTTACTTGTTCGAATCCTTCGCTTTTAAAAATGTTGACGACGGACGGGAATTTGTCTTTGCGTGTATTGTCACCGAAAAATCTTCTAGGCCCTAATGCAGCAAGGTACCGTTTTTTGACTGTAGGGCTTAGAGCTTCAAAAGCTGCACACGCCATCTCGAATTTCTTCTTACGACGCGTCACCCTATATATCCACCACGTATTTTGTCCTGTTGGCCTCTTTGGCTCTGCGCAGGTTCTATAAAGTGTCTGCGATAGTGCTTCCTAAAGATCTACTCTTCTTAATGAAATCGATTTTAGGTGAGTAGGCCTTTATCTTACAATTAGAGCATCAAAAATGAAAGGATGAGTCAGCCACTTGTCATATGAACAAAACTTTCAAACAAATCACTACCCTCTCCAAAAAGCCTGCTATGCACCCCGACTTCTTAGCTTCGTTTCCCGCTATCGTTGTACGAAGGCAGCGAAGCGTTTTTCTCATCTTGATCTCTACGTACTATTGTCCACGCGCCTAGCTGTACTTTACTGGGACGTTTATCAACTTTTAACCAGCATCGGGTATGGTGGAAATGGAAATTTTCATCACTTAAAATGGATGTGATGCTTCCAACGTCAAGTAATGCAGGATATTCTCAGGAAAAGTCGAAGGGTCAAAAAGGGGAGTAACTTTAACATCGGGAAGAGCAGGACCTGCCCTGAGAATGTGAGATCGACAGAGGTAAGTGCTCCGGAAAGGAGTATGCCCCCAGAAATGACGGAGGTAGTAGTGCGATAGGCCATACCTCGGTGCGGCTCGACACGCCCATTCCGATCGGCTAACCTAGCCGCCAGGCTCTTATGACTAAGTACGGCCGAAGTTTATTCAGTATAGTCGGAGAGCGTTATGCGTTGAAGAGGACACAACGTGAGGGTTTGCATTAATTGGGCTGAAGTCAACAGGAGAGGTAGGCTCCCATTCTCGGGTCCTCGCGGCTTTTTCATAGGCTTTTTGTCTCGGGCACCCTGGCACTGACACACGTCTAGCTATTAACTCTGAGGAGTTGCGCTTCTGATCGTATAACTCCGCACGCGAGAGAGCGAGGAGGGCTGCGTGCATAGTCGAACGCTTTGCGATGAATCAACAACAGCGTGTCAAACTCGCCGAGTGAAGACAGGTTGCCGATGCCGAGTGTTTAATGATTATGTCAGGCCGTACTCGCCAGCTCTGTTTGTTTTTCGTGGCGACCGGTCTACCTATGTGGCCCAAAAAAGAGCAGCATTGTACGGTGCGACTTGCTGATCGCTCTTCCAGAGAGTAGAAAAATTTCAGCAGCTGTTGACCGTTGGTCCCAGTGACTGCAGAGGATTGTAAAGTTTGTGTGAATATAAAAGCAAACATCACAAAAGTCTTCGTACCACCAGCGAATATTGCGCAGCATCTTATCAGTTATTTCCTACTCAGTGTCAGTGAAAGTCACCGACATCCTGAACGTACCTTACGCTTGCACTTTCCCCCTTAAATCTTGCTCGTTATAGCGTGGAGAGTCGCGCTGCTCGCGCTCTCACCACCATAATTTCCTTCAAGTGGAGGAGAGTCTAGTATCAGACGCGAACTAACTATGACTAGGGGAGCAGTTAGCTAGGAACAGGTCTATAAGATTTAGCGCCCCGTGGATACAATGAGAAAAGGTCATGCGGACCACTACAATAAGGGATCATGCGCGCACCATACCATTCGGCCACACCTGTAAGAAACTTTAGTTGGAAGTACGAGCGAAATGTTGTGGCTCGAAGGGCAAGCTGACCATCTGAGAGACCGGAGCGTACAAGTGCTCAACAAGCCTTATAATCGTTTGAAGTTAAACTATTTTTGAATGAAGAGAACTAGGTTGATGTAAATACTAGTTATAATACGATCAAATTCTTGCATGAAAACCAAAGGAGGGAGCTTTTCGTAAACGCATCATGCAAACTTCCTTTCGTCCCCAGTAATTTCATTTCCAGTTTAACGAAGTTTTCGAAGTAACGGTGCAAATGCATAAAGCAGTTCAGGACATTGTGAGCACATCGATTTGATGGACTGTAGTGATTTTGAGACCGACGAGATGACATGTATGCTAACGGCCACTGGCATGACGTGCTGCGTCTGTACCGGGACGTTGCGAGCCGCGAAATGGTCACTTTTCTAGGTAATATTTTGTTTGTTGAGCAGCCAAAATTACAATATTTGAGCGACTCTAGGACTAAGAGAAGAAGTGATATCTAATCATGTAGCGATTTAATTATTTTCAGGCTTTCACTTACTAGCCGAATGTACAAAGGATTACTAATTAATTCTCTTATTCAACGCATACTTCTCATACGGGATCGCATCATGAAATACGGTGTATATAATACATGGATAAGCTCTATATATGTATATAATTATGTTGTTATTTATAGGTTGATATTATGTTTCTTTCTGCATAAAGTGTTCCGATGATTTGTTTTCGTGAAATAAGAAAGACTGCAATGGCTCGTCATTCATAGCATACATGGTGGTCTATAAATGATGCAGCACGGTTTATACCGTGCTGATTTTCTCAAGATATGTCTACCTTCAAATGATTACACGCATTATTATTCGAGAACTTCACATTACAATCAGGAACATTCATTGGATATGTTCTTTCTGCTAATTAATCAGCATACTGAAATTATTCGGATATTGTGGCTCGCACAAAATAGCCCAGTATCTCGAGATCAGGGGAGCTGGGAAGGCCATTCAAGCTACGATGTCGATTAGTATAGTGTCGCTCCAGTTCTAGGCACATCGGAGTTCCTGCTCTGTGTGCAGGAGCTCCGATGTGAGATTCATCTTTCCGCTCTAAAACGGCCATTACAGCATTGCAACGGATGCACCTTCGAGGATGCCTGTATATGGAAATTGACCTTAACTCCCATTTGATGTTGGTGAATGAAAGAAACATTTACTCAAAGTGTCTTTTGTGGGAATACTTAGAGAAGACGTAGCTCGACTGCCGTTTCGCGTGTGCTCTTAGAAGGAGAATACCCTCTTCGGTAAGGAAGATGGACAAGAAGTGAGAGAAAATATGAAGGAGTTCACAAAACATGAACTCAATATGATATCGAAAAGACTAGAGTAAATCCGCAGTAGTGGCTTTTGCAAAATTGGCGTCTTACCAGCTGTAAGTCGTAAGCATGCTATAATCAAATTAGAAATGTCGAATACGCGTAGGAGATGAATAATTAGTGATTGTTTGGTCGAAAAATGCGCAACTACTTTTCAACACACACTGAGTGACGTGATGCGAAACAAAAGCTTAAAAATTGAAATGACCACTGACAATACTGTCCAGGCGATTGCAATGTACGTAATAAGTGTTTATTCTTACTTGGAACCTCTCAAATATTATCTTATCGCTTCTTATAACATATCGCTTCCTTTTGCTTCGGTGGTTCACTTGATTTTCCTTCCTTCTCGGCTTATCGCCAGCATGATATGATAACCATCCTATACGTGGTTTTAACCTGAGTTAACACTTTTATAACTCAACAAACACAACATATAACTGGAACCACCAACTATACAAACAATCGAACAAATACACAATGCTCTATGCTCTAACGTCACGTCCGTGAATTCGACGATCACGACGAGTCGGGTAGGGTATGTGTCCATATAGTACTTCTGAAGGACTCTCAAGCTCCTCTTGATTCGTCGAGAGTCTTTTGTAGCAGGCGATCGATGTCGTTTCCGGCAAAAACCAGAGAGCTTTATCGTGGTCCTTTGACCCACAGTATCCGCACCTTTTCCTTTTATTCCTGCATGGTTCTGTGTCGTGGCGGCTATTCAAACATAGTTCACATCGTACACGTTTTTTTTTCTCGATTCGACGCTTACATATGAGGGATAGCTGTCTGACTTATGTAGTCCCTTCTGCAGACAGAATGAGCAAGACCAGGTACTTGTTCTTGAGTCTCATTTGATCTATGCGGTTTACTCTTCTTTCTGGAACTTGTGCCATCTTCCTCAGATATGAGCTGATACTGTCACTTCGCTGTCCTTATGCTCTGCTCATCGTCAGATATATCCGGCGTGGATCTTGTTGATTCATTGTAGTATTCGCACTTTTCGAGTTCGTCATCAGATGTTGCCGGGCTTGACTTTGCTGATTAATTGGTATCCATTCTTCTCTATGTTGTCGTCAAAAGATACTGCTGGGCTTGATTCTACTGACTAGTCGTAGTATCCGCAGTTTTCATGTGCTTTCTCGGGAGCGTCAAGTAGATCTTTCTCGCCTTCTTCAGAATTTGCACGTTTTGTTCAGGAACATCCTTATCTTCCGTTGGTTGATTGCTCGTAATCCGGCGCGCTTGATTTTGTTTTGTTAGTGCACTGCCTATTTCTTCAAGCCTTTCAAAATTCTTTTATTTTTTCGTTCTAATTGTTGATCTCATGCTGAAGATTCGCGTGTTTCTCTTCGAGGTATTCACGTGTTTCCATTATCATCTCTTTTATGTCATCGAATGCTTTCTTGTGTTCTTCATTTTCTTCTTGAAGCTGTGCTTCTGTGATCTCGTTACCTATTATTTGCCGTTTGAGATTTCCGAGGAATTCGATTTCTTTCCATATACATCGGCAAAAATTCGCGACACCGTTATTTTCTAAATGAGCCCTTGATAGAGTGCCGCTTAGCATGCTGTCCAGAAACTGGGCTTAATTCCACCGAATAGCGGCCAAACCTATCACTAAGGCAACTAGAAATTATAATGAAGAACAATGGATTTCACGAAATCTCTGATCTTGTTTTGAATGCTTTCTTTGGATGAAAACGATTGAATCTTCGTCACGCATGCACACTTGCGACGAACCTTCTCGATTAGTTACCGCCTCGGCGCACCCTATTTCGGGAGCTCATCACCACATTCTTGAGAGGTCATTGTTCCAAAATGGAAACTTTCTAACTATGAAACTTTCCATATCCATGCTCTTTTTTCTTGATTATTTTGTGACCTTTCTCCCCTTTAGAGTGCAAGGCAATCATTGTGAATGCTCTCGGGCTCAATATGCTATGTATTACATGAGCGTCGCTGTGATATTTCGTGGTTTCGCTGTATGAATGATACTCAGTGCTCTGCTGTCCTTGGATTGTACCTTACCTTAATGATAATAATTAGAAGCTAAACTAAGTCCCAGTTTTCAGGTAAAGAGATGTTTGACCAAGTTAGGATGTACGTGACGTTAAAATGCTTTAGCATTTCGCTCTCGGTGAATACTTCTCTCTACAACTGCACGTCCTTTCTTAGCGGCCGAACTATTGGATGCTTTTTCGAAAATGATGCTCCATTGGACTAACCTGAATTGCTCCTGCCGAGGTTTTTCATCGCTATCTTTGATCTCCAAGGGGATAAGCTGGTTAAGTGGACGTCGGAGCGTCTTTTTGTTGTTGGTCACCTCCACTTCTCTTACAGCTTGGAAGTAATTTTACAATGCCTGCCATTTCCCAATTGCTTCTCTTCTGATGTGGCTCACTTACAATGACTATTGCACCTTCCCTGACATGCTTCGTGTTTCCCCTTCTTTCGTTCATGTTCTCCTATGTTGTTCCCGGAGAGCTGTCAGATATTGATTCTTCCAAATCTCCCAGAAATGTTCGGTTAAATTACAAGACGACTGCAATGCTTTCTGTGTTTGTAGCCTAGTCTCTAAACGTAATGACTCGGAAGCGGGCATATAACTTGGATCTTCTCCATCTGAAAACTCCATTTGAAGAGTCACATCTATTTCTCGCTGCAAAAAGTCAATTGGACGTAGCGGCAGTATGTCCTCACTGATGTCGCTTTCTAGATAGGTGAGAGGTCTACAATTCAAACATCCCTCGATTTCAAGCTAAACTAGTGCCATAGCTGCTCCAATATTAGAATGCGTCTTCTTGTTGCTTTGACTAGGTCGTATAACGTATGCTATACGAAGTTATTACGAAAACCGCCCTTCCATGGGGAGTATGGTGTAATATGCTTCCACTCGATCAACTGATTGCTCATAGTGCGGGATAGCTCCTCGTCCCTGATATCTGCACCAAGACAATCCTTTATGATCTGACTTCCAAGTATAAATGTTGGTGCATTATCGCAAGTCAGTGGTTTGCCTGTACGAGCTTCGAATCGACGGAACGCAATGAGGAACATTTTCTGTCGAACCATCTGATACTTACTACTTCTATGGGTGGATAAGACGGAGTAACGCAGCACGTGAATATGCATCCATAGATTTCTCTGTGCTCTCGTGCTTCGTTCTGGATAGTGATGGGGCCAAAGTAGTCCAATCCTATGTTTTCACAATGGTCGTGATTTCTTTACTCGGTGTTCCGGAAGATCCATCATTTCTGGATACTTATACGGCAGATTGTTCAATTTTTGACAAGCGATACATGTCCGTATGCATCTTTTTACTTGCTCTCTAAGTCGAGGAATCCAGTATTTTTGCCTCACTTCGGCTATCGTGTGGCCGATGCCATTGTGATACTTCCCATGCGCATCCAGTATAATCAAGCGGCTTAATTCCGTGTGAGGGGCAATGAGAATAGGGTTTTTAGCCGTGTTGCTTAGCTCGGATTTATTTGAACGTCCATAAGCCCGCAACAACTGTTTCTTGTCCTCCTTCATGTTTAGAGTTTTAGAAAGTGCCTTCTTGTATGAAGAGGATTATACGTATGGGACTCTTGATTCCTTATCAGTACATCGCGAGCGTCTCTAATGTCGGATGCTGTCAGGTGCTCTTTCTGGATCGGATTAGTAAGACATGGTAACTTGTTTCGTAGTCTGCTCTGAAGAGCGTTGCAAGAAGTGACGCTCTTGCGGAATCGAATGACATATGCAAGATCCTTAAAGGCAAAGGTCGGGCTTAGTTGAACCTAACCAACCCTTTCGGTCATTCCTGTAACTTGGTTACGCACCCATAGAGATGTTCCCATGCTCAAAATCTCAAACGACGCGGTAATAAGGCCTCAGGGCACGTACTATGCGCTATCGCCGCCTAGCCCCGCTACGACCGCCCACCTCGGGATGTGGCATAACGTGTGAAATCAGCTAGGTTGATAGCCGTATCAACCGATAGAACGACTGATATCTTCAGAAAACTTGCTTGTACGTGCCTCTTCCCCAAGCCGGCCTCCTTCATTGCTTTTGAGAAAGAGGGCTTTGTTAACGGCCTTGTCGAGGGTTTTTCGCGGTTTTTTCTCCACTGCCGTTACACTTCGCATCTCTATACTCAGTTTCAATCGCCATAATCCCCCTTATTGAGCCAGACTTTTGCCTTTAAGATTAGTAGAATACTGTACCTCGTTAGGTCGTAGATATCTTCGACTCTTCCCTTCATGAGTAGTCTTATAGCATATACTGGAGAGACACATTCCGTTTCTTCTTCTCCTTCTATTCCTTTGAAAGACTGAAGAAGTTAGATGCAAATCAACCATCGAGAATTCTCTTAAGTGGATATCCTCTCCACCACACATGTGACAAAATTTCCTGTGCGGATGCTCCACGTGTCCCAATGTCTGCCGGATTCCACTTGGTCTCGATAGAGCCAAATTCTACTTTGCCTGCCATATGTGTTAGTGACTGTACAATGTTGTGAACCTCCCGCACCCGGTTGGAGACGTATGGCACTGTTTTGTGATGATTTGAGTAGGGCCATTTCAACACAATTTTTGAGTCTGCCAGGAACATGATCTTCTTAATGCTTATAGAATTCTTAAGACTTAACAATGTGTTGAGGTCAATCTTGCTCCAATCGCTAAGGGCATTCATTTCCATTTTTGGCATTGTAGTTGGATGTTTGTTGTCCGAAACCTTTGATTTGGCCATCAACCAAGTTTGAGTATTTCACTAGTCACGGTCAAACGTCAAGGTAAGTCATCTGCCGTACGATTGCACTGGCATCGGAATACGTGACCAGTGCATAGGATGCTATTCCATCTTGCGTAATTCTTCTTGGTAACTTTTATATGGAAATTGAACATTTCTTTGGTAATGCACTGCCACTGTTGTTTATGTTTCTCGTTCAGTAGTTCATTCCAGTCATAGTGTTCTTTCCACAGAAGTTGGAATTTCTTCGCTCTGACCAGTAGTGGGATAAGCCATCCAAGTGGATCGTATACAGACGCAATTTGCTGGGCAACGATGCGTTTGCTGACTGATTCGTTCTTCCGGATATTGAAGTGCAACGAAATTTCGTCCTCAATCGAGTTCCAAGAGATTCCAAGCACTTTTGACATAAAGTTTGAAGAACGGTCCGACGCCGGTATAGCCCCCATCACTTCTGAGTTGTTGGATATGGATGCTCTGAGATTCATTTTGAGATCGTTGAAAATTGATTTTAGATCCTTGTACTTCTGTATTCCTTCAGCTGTTGTTTCTGCCCACACAATTAGGTTGTCGACGTAAAGGTTTGATGCGAATTCACATGTCAGTGCTCTGTTTCCACGTGGTTGTTAGCTGAAAGTGAATAGTCGCACTGAGAAGGAATGGTGAGCCATTGATGCCAAAGGTAACTCGCTCGAATCTGTAGAAGATCAGGTTGTCATCCGTTAGTGGTTTCGTTATATCTCTGACCCACAGGCTCATCTCGTGAAATTCTTTAGAGTGCACTTGTAGGAACGCTTTCTCGACGTCTGAAAGTAAGGACGTTTTTGTGCGAAAGCGTGGGAGCATTCCACACAGCTTGGGGAGTATGCTAGGTCCTTGATGCACAACATCATTTAGTGAAGGGCAGTTTCTATAATGTGCTAACGCATCAAACACTACTCTGAACTTTGTGATATCTTTCAGAGGGTGATCACGGGTTGATGAGGAAGGTAATGTTTCGGTTTTCCGGCAATATCTTGAGCTTCGTCTACTTCCTCTAAAATGCCTTTGTTCAATTGATCTTGAAATACTTCGTGGTACTGTCGCAGTATTTCGGGTTCTCCTTGTGTATTTGTGAAATACACCTTTTCAAACCGATGTAACACCAGCTCTCTATTGTCAGGTAGGTAGTCGTGCTTCTCTTTGAATGGAAGTCGAACGACATAGCCTTTGTCACATTTCTTAATGGAGCTATTGAAGTTCTTCAGAACTTGCTCATTGATGCGAGCTTTTTCTTTCTTTTTCAGGACCACAGTACTCCTTTTCTATGCTTTTGCTTTCTTCATTCCAGTGACTTTCCCAAAGGTCATTATCTCGTTCGGATTCCTATCGAATGCACTGTCGAGTACAGCTTTGAATGTCTTTCCTGTTTTTGTATACGCTTTCCAGTCACCATGTACCCCAGACGTGTGAACATAAGTTTCAGCCCTGATGGCAAATTATAGTGCGGTGCTTCAAATTTGTATGAAGGTTCCAAAGCTGATCGCATCCGATCAAAACTTCAGGAGGTTGAGCTATGCCACTTGGTGCAGAGCTCAATGTTATCTGCTTTTTGTGGATGTACTGAAGATCTTCTTTCTGAAGTTTCCCTCCACTAATGTTTCTTGTAAGAATTGTGTGAGTGTAGAGTTGTAGTTTATGTTGCTCTCCTTCAGAGTCCCACACATTCATGCATGTCTTGATGCATTGAGTTTCTTTCGCGGTTGCTGCTCCAAATGTGCTGAGTTTCATCGAGACTACTCCGTGGTTAGGTAGTTGAAGTTTTTTGGCTAGTCTTTCATCGATGAAGCTGCGATCCGCACCTGTATCTAGGAGAACACTGACTTTGACAAATTTCTTCGTTTGAGGGTGCAGTGTTCGTAACGCTCCACTTAGAAGAAATATCTCCCCTTGTTGGGTTCGATGAGAAGCGTCTTCTACTTTCATCACCGTAAAGTTATCTGTATTATCATTGTCTGTATGTGTGTCTTCTTCTTCACACAATGTAAGATTTTGTCGAGCTTTGGATGATTTTTGCTTCTCTTCCTTCTTCCAATTCGGAGTTTGTGCTTTCGAAGCTCCAAATGCAGATTGTGCAGAATACTTGAAACCATGGCCTTTTCTATCCTACTGTTAGCAGAGTACTGTACACTTATGAGCAACTTCAATTGAAGGCCCACCTGCTCTTCTTCTTTGACTGTAGATGCTTTGATTGTCCACGTCGAAGAAGACCACTTGTCCGAGGGATTGCTCTTCCGGGCGGTTCGGATCGGTAGATTGATAGCCGATGCACCACTTGTCCAGGCGATTGCAATGCACGGAATAAGTGTTTATTCCTACTCAGGACCTCTTAAATATTGATGATTATCTTATCGCTTCTTATATCATATCGCTTCTTCTTGCTTCGGTGGTTCACTTGATTTTCCTTCCTTCTCGGCTTATCGCCAGCATGATATGGTAACCATCCTATACGTGGTTTTAACCTGAGTTAACACTTTTATAACTCAACAAACACAACATATAACTAGAACAACTATACGAACAATCAAACAAATTCACAATGCTCTATGCTCTAATTGTGGTCACGTCCGTGACATCTACTAGAGTAGGTGACAGAAATATCTCATACCCGTAACATGACGAGGAGACCCTCCTCAAATGGATAAAGCACATAACTCACCTCTTGAAAGCAGAATTAGAGAAGTGATGTCGTCATTTCTCTAGGGAAGCAAGGTACTAGTGCGATTACGTTCGATTCATCTCTCTAGTTTTTCTGAGATCCAAAGTAGCAAAAGTCAAGCGATGGCTTCAGCGAGGGCGGTCTTGCAGTGTTCCTCGCTTCAGTGCAGGGCAGACTTGCAGTTATCGAAGTCCCGTGCAATATGCCCCGCTAACCGCGCTAGCTATAAGAATCAGCAACAACTACCAAGGCTATTATGGCGTTCTCACAAGGTGTGCTGTAGGACGACATTATCTGAACATCTGTAGGAAGTACGGCTTCTTCACTCTGGGAGCAAAACATGACAGACGAGTACATGTATTGCTGACGAAACAATTGACGAAACCTCATTTTCTCCGCACTCAAAATGCGTTGTTAAGTTCTTTATCTAGCCTGAATGGAGATTTCTCTCGTCTTTGAAGCAACCGGGTATTGGCTCAAGCAAAGTGGTTGCACTCACCTGTTCCAGTGCACTTTTAACCGATGTGAAGAAAGCAGCACGCTTTTTCTCCACGCTCCGGAACTTTTCTTCTAGGCTTTCCCGCATTGCTCATTGCGTTTTTGCCAGAGGTACTCACCTTGTTCACTGCACGAACTTGCTCTGGGGCAATGTATGGGCGTTTTTGCTTGCAGGCCCCCTAGTGGTAATTCTGCAACTCACGTCGCAAGATGAATCATGGCGAGTGCAGCAGAACCTTGACAAAATGAGTTTTCAAAACGACTGCAACCTTCAAAACAGTGTCAGTGTGAGTTCCAGACAAAAAACGGAACACAGCAAAGACACCGAAATGAAGAGCAAGTCGAATAATCCAGGAATTAAGGAAAAAACTGAATAAAATTACGTATTCGGTAAGAACACCACGAAAAAATGAAGAACTGTGAAACAACCACGCTATATTATTGTAAAACAACATTATCTTAGATAAAAATAACTTACCTCTGTTGAAGGAAGCCTGGCGGAGCAGCAGAATACCAGTTTGAAAGCCGAATAATGTTGGAAACAGCTGATTCGGCCGTCAATACGCTGCGATATCCAGACGGAAGAGCACCCTAGTGACTGTAGCAATGGAGGAGAACTAAAGAAAGCAGAGACGAGAGAGGCAGCGCATACGCAGAATTGACGCAGACACTTCACGACAAACTTCCATAGGTACGCAACCGCCACCGCGCTCCCAATCTAGTCCGCAGCCCCGCCCTCCCCGACTTCGAGATATGGAGTTTATGATTGGGCAATTGCAGAAGTTTGGTTCCGTCCCCAAGTCAAACAAGGTCCCTTATCCCTCAAAAGGGGCAGATTAAGAGGTTTCTCTTCTAGTTCGGGCTAGGAAGAAATAAAATGCATGATGAAGGTAAAAAAACTCTCGAAAACAAAAAAAAATTAGATAAT